CTAAGCAACAGAGGAGAGGCTACCTTAAATGCCCTCCCCTGATAATGAGATTGATGACTGACTTATATGCCATCCGATAGCCCTCATCCAGCAGCTGGTGGAAGTAGAAGCAGACACCCACAACTAATCACTGAGCTGAACTGGAATCCAGATGCAGAGAAGAATGAGTGATGGGCAAAGGGGTCCAGAACAAGCTGGTGAAACCCACAGAAACAGCTGACCTGAACATTGGGGAGCTCTTGGTCCCCAGACTGATAGCTGGGACACCAGCATAGGACTGATTCAGACCCCAGGAACATGGATTTCATTGAGGAAACCTTGGAAATCTACAGGACTTCCTGTAGTAAGTAGATCAGTACTTATCCCTAGCATAGGTGTGGACCTTGGGAGCCCATTCCACATAGAGGAATACTCCCTAAGCCAAGTCACACAGGGGTGGGCCTAGGCCCTATCCCAAAGTATATGATAGACTCTGATGACAACTTACAGAAGGCCTCACCCTCCCTGGGGAGCAGAAAGGCTATGTGATAGGTAGGATGTTGGTTGGGAGGGTGGTGGGGAGGAGGGGAGGGACTGGGAACTGGAATTGACATGTAAAACAACCTTGTTTCTAATTCAAATAAAAAAAGGAAAACAAAACAAACAAACAAACTCAGAAGAAATAAACAGTATTTTTGCCCCAGCACCCAGAGATAAGCCCTGAACCTGGAAGTCTCCAGCTTGGAGCCCCCTTTTCCCTTTTCGTCTGCCATACTGCTTCTGAAGTTTTGTTTAGTTTTGCTGGCTTTGTGTGAGAAAGAGGATATGTGTGCTCATGCGCACATGTGTGTAGTGCCCAGAGGACAACCTCAACTGTTGCTTTTCAAGTACTATCTTAGATTTTATGACACCGGGTCTCACAGGCCCAGGACTCACCAAGAAGGCTAGGCTGGCTGGCCATTAGGGCTCCAGGGATCAGCTATTTCTGTTTTCCCAGTGCTGGGATTACAGGCCTAGCCACCACCTCACTAACAGAGCCATCCCCACCACCTGTTCTGTTTTTATTCTTTAATCTTTTTTTAATTACTATTTGAGAATTTCATATGTGCCTATGATGATTGATCAAACCCAACTCCAACTCCTCACCTGTCTTCCTTCTCGTCCTCTGACTCCACTTAGCATGGTCTGTATTTGCCTGGGTGTAGGGTCTTCTACTTGATCATGCATGTGTCGTGTGTGAGTTGCTCTTTTGTTGCTGTGATAAAATAACACCACCGAAAGGACCACAGGGAAGAGTTTACTTACAGAGAGTGCATAATGGCCAGAACCGGAAGGTGAGCAGTTGCATCTCAACTGCACACAGGAAGCTGTGAGTGACAACAGGAAGTAGAACAAGGCTGTAAACCCTCAAAACCCAACCCTAATAATGTACTTCCTCCATCAAGGCTGTCTATGCCTTGTAAAGACCCCACAACCTCCCTCTACAAACAGTGTTCAAACAGGAGCCTGTGGGGGACATTTCTCATTTAAACAACAGGTAGACTCTTAGGGACAGCATCCCTGAAGAGAACCAGTTCTCCTCCACCAGCAGCCATCAGTCTCCCAGAGCTCCTCAGCTAGGGGTGGGACTTTATTTTGGGATTTTTCTGGCTTGATCTTGTACAGTCCTTAGGCATGCTATCCCAGCCACTGTGAGTTCGTGTGTACAATGACCCTGTCGTGTCTGACAAATACTGCTTTGCTGCAGACATCTGTTCTCTCTGGCTCTCACGGTCTTTCCACCCCTTCTTCCCAGATGACCCCTGATCCTTGGGTGAGGGGCATAGATGTCCCATTTAGAGCTGAATACTCCACAGTATCGTATTCTCTGCAGGTTGGCCAGTTGTGGCTATCTGTATTAATCACCATCTCCTAAAAACTATAAAATAAATAAAAGTAGATAAATAAATAAATAAATAAATAAATAAGCTTCTCTGATGAGATGTGCTAAACTATGGATACAAAGAAAATTACTTAGGAGGCACCTGGATATTATGTCCCTTTAGCAAAGTCATAGTGCTAGGATCTCCCCTAGGGCTTGTGGCCTAGCCAGCAGCCACAGGTTTTTGGCCCAGTGAGTAGTCCTAGGCATGAGCAGTCTTGTGGTACATCACTCAAGCCTAATCAGAAAGCGACTGGCTGATTACTCCTATAACGTTAGCACCAGTGTTGCACCAGTGGGCATATCCTGCCAAGCCAGTTGCTGCTGTGTGTTGCCTACTATGTTCTGCTGGGTTCATAGTCCTGCAGTGTCTCTCCCCACATAAGCATGTGTGAGCTCACAGTGTTCAGAACTAGGAAAGATTTATAATTTCTTTTCTCCTCTGACAGCATGTGTAGCACCTTCCAGCACCATGAAAGCTAGCCAGTAGGCAGGAAGCTTCCAAGTTAGTACCAGCTTCATTTCAGCATGCTCTATGATTCAATCATGTCATGTCTTCAGCGATAGGATCTTACCATAACCTTCTGGATAGTAAGCAATAGTAACAGCAATAGCCTTTAGGGGAGTCTATGGGACCCCACTGACCAACCACTTGGAAGAAGGTAACCCAAGCCTGCCTTTTTATTTGATAAACAATGTCTGGTCTTAGAACTTATTATGCAGTGTTTCCACACAGCCTGACTGTGTTTGTTTGTTTGTGTCTGTTTTTCAACTTAAGAGATCCCAGGGTTATGTTCCAAGTGCATTAAGGCAGATCTACCTCACCTGTCTATGTGGATGTCCCTGTGATGTCTGTGCTATATTCCAGTCTGATTGTGAGGCTTGGAGTTTGCCTACTACGTTCCCCTGGGTTCACAGTCCTGCAGTGTCTCTCCCCGCATAAGCATGTGTGAGCGCTGTTTTTTTTCCCCACAGGATAAAGGAGAAATAGGGATGAGTGAGCCACAGGAATCCCTGTGCATTAGGAGCTGTGTGTGCCACATGGGTCAGTGCAGGCATTGCCTGGAACTGAATGACTTGCTGACTGAGGAGTGGTCATGGTCTGGGAAGGGCCCATCTCCCCTCCCCCAAGGAGACAGGATGATGGATCCATCCTTGCCCTCACTGGTGCTACTGGAGTCCCCCTGGTTGGTGACTTGGAGTTCTCCAAGGGTGATTTTTCTGGCTAAGGATGAAAAGGATAAAAATGGCCCTAAGTTACACTTGCATTTCTCTGCCCCTACAGGTGGCCTCAGTGGAGCGACCATCATTGATTCCCTTGATACCCTCTACCTCATGGAGCTGAAGGAGGAGTTCCAAGAGGCCAAGGCCTGGGTGCAAGACAGCTTCCACCTGAATGTGGTGAGTCAGAGGCCACGGGGAGATGAAGGACTTGGTGAGTCAGTGGCCATGGGGGGATGGGCAGCCTCCAGCTCCACAGACAGCACACTTCTTGCCTATATAATAGAGCAGGCTTGAGGTGGGGATGTCTCCCAGCTGGTGTCCTTTGGTGCCAGGGGAAGACAGCCAGCACCATCCCTCCCCTCCCCACATCGCTCATCTTGGGTGTGTTGCTCAGCAGGAAGGGAAATGGCTTTGGCTGAGGCAAGAGATGGTGGGGGGAGTTGAGAGCTGGACCGGATAGCTGGGAAAGACTTTCCACCTCCTTGGACCTCAGTGTCCTCACTATGAGACAGGAAGGATGATCAAGACAGGCTGTAGAGAGTATTTTATGGCCCCATAAAGTCAGCACAAATCTAAAGCCTCCTTATTGCTGTTACAATTAGTAGAATCATCTTGAGACCTTTGTAGCTTCTGGTGCCTGTGAGGCCAGGGGCGTACAGAGCCCTTTGCTCTTTTTCTGTTGGTTAGGAGAGAGGCAGAGGGGCATCTTCCAGGACTCGCCTCGTCCCCTGAGCAGCCCCCAGATCCTCCAGGCAGAGGATAGGCCTGCCCAGGGGACTAGGGAGCCGTGGACACTCAGAGAGGCTGGGGCAGGCTAGAGTGTTTCCAGAAAAAAGGAAGGTGGGGTCACCTCTTTAAGCCTTAGCTTTTTCATCTAGAGACTGGGGTGATATCACAGAGAGCTGTGAGGCGGAAAGGAACTGAACTGAGCTTTGTGTACTCTGCTGGTGGAAAACTCTTCCCTGATTAACAGATACTGATGGCTGCTGTCAATAATGAAAGCTTGAGCCAAACCTGGTAGTGCAGGCCTGGAATCCCAGCCGCTCTGGAGGCTGAGGCAGCCAGAGCACAAGTTCAAGGCTAGCCTGGGCCACTTAGTGAGACCCTGTCTTAAAATAAAGAAAAAAGAAGGCTGGGGATATAACACATTTTCCTAGGACCTCAATTAAATTCCCAGTATTACAAATAAAAATGAAAAATATGATGCACCTGGGGCAAAGGAGGTGACAATAGACACCTGTGTAAGACCCTGCTCAGTTTACTGTACCACCTGTGAGAAGGCCTGCCTGGGAGGTGGTGACAGACCTATTCTGTGCAGTAGGAAACCCAGGGGTGAAGGAGAGGTCTGTCTCAAGTCACAGAGCCATGAACATGGCCTAGGTGGGGAATTCAGCCAGGCCCTGCCCTTGGCATGATGCCATCGTGGAGAAGGGTAATGTGAGTTGGCCCAGAGAATGACAGCTCTCACATGGGCATCTGCCCACAGCCTTTGGTTCAGCCCTGCCCTGCTGTCACCCCAGGGAAGGGCCTCCCTCATTCCTGCTTTGCCTCTCCTGCAGCTCAGCAAAGCTCCTTGGAGCACAGCCAGGCGTAACTGCTCCAATGGCCTCCGGCAAGGCTGGGGAAGGAAGCCAAAGCTGGTGTTTATTTGGAACACTTAAATGCACAGTAGCAACTGCCAGGCAGGTGCTGGCCCTCTCGACCTCTGCTATGAAAATCGAGCTGTGGCCTGGCCTGCTGGGGTCCCCAGAGCAGGACACAGGTGTGTGTTGAGGAGAGCAGTATGGCGCGTGTCCAGGGCCTGGATAGCTCTGGGAGCTTACCCATGCCCCTGCCCGTCCCCTCCCTGCCTTCTTGCAGAGTGGAGAAGCATCTTTGTTTGAAGTGAACATCCGCTACATCGGAGGACTGCTCTCAGCCTTCTACCTGACAGGAGAAGAGGTGAGTTGGTCCTTTGAGGCCCCAGTGCTGTCCAGACTGGACGGGTCTTAGGAAAAAAACCATAGTCCTGCCTCCTCTTTCACAGTAAGTGGCTTCATGGGGCAACGTGGTCTGCCAGAGACCAAACAGTAGCCCCCATGAGGATTCCACATTGCCCAGATCTATGGCCCAGGTGAGCACACTTGGCTCCTAGAGCAGCTGACGAGTTTTCTGAGAACAGAACCATGTCCATGAGAACTGGCACAGTTGCCCTGCACAGTTGCCCCG